CTTCAAGGGCAGCCCCATGTAGAGCACATTGCAGTATTCCAGCCTAGAGATCACAAGGGCTCGAGTGACTGTTGCGGGGGCCTCCCGGTTTAGGTAGGGTCGTAATTGGTGGATCAGGCGAACCTGGGCAAATGCCCCCCTGGTCACAGCTGACAAATGATGGTCGAAAGTCAGCTGTGGGTCCAGGAGGACTCCTAAGTTACGAACCCTATCTGAGGGGTGTAAAATCATCCTGAATTGGTAGCTGCCTAGGGGACAATTAAAATGTGTTTTCCACTTGTCCCCTGCCCTGACTCTCACTCTGTAATATGCTTCCCAGAGATCCAGTTTTCCAATATGTCCTTCATCAACAGAAGGAGATACAGATGTTCTATACACATGGTGCTGATCCTCCAAAATTCGACACACAGGCCCTGTCCTTCTTTTCTCTAAATAAGACAACCCCAGTCTTGTAGAGATTCATGGAAAGAAGCACCTCTAACAGCATAGTGACCTGTCTATAGAAGAGAAAACAGTATTTTTGTCAATTCTCATCCTACTTCCTTTGGCTAGGTTGCAAGGCATAGAAGAATACTTGGAATGATTTGCAGAGGCAAAAAAATCAGGATAAGTGAAGATTTTTTTAAAGTAAAATCAGCAGTGCAGGATGAATTTTTCTGACCTTATGCAAATGAATTAATCAGTCAATCTATTAATCTGAGGGTAGCTGTGAAAGGTGACTCATGAAACTGTCAAATCACTTTCCTTTTGAGGTCCTGTTGTATCTGCTACAGCTAAGAGCAGGATGTAATGAAGATTTTCACCAATAGGAAAAGAGGTCCATAAATTTGATAGAACATTCAACATAACAGATGGAATGATTGCTTTCTTTATGTCTTGCATTTGCTCTCTCTCTCTCTCACCCACACAGTCATAAATAAATAATTTTAGGCTCACCATGGTTGAGCAAGATATAAATCAGCTCAACTGCTGGACATAGATGATGGTAGGAGAACACAGGTATGGAACTTATTTGAAGCAATGCAACAACATGATATGGAACTTTCAAAGCCTCACAGGCATCTTTTGATTTCCATCAAGACATCATAATTCTTTTTCTTTTCATTCAAATAATTTTGCCTCTTCATTTAGATATTTTTAAAAGATCTATCTTTGCTATGTTTCTCAAACAGTTGCAGTTGCTATTTGATGCTGCTGTCCCTCTTTCATTAAGTTCTATTTCCTACATTCTACCTTCACCCCCATGTTGTTGGCCTAACAAAGCTTATAAGTACACTGGTAGGAATTTACCTCATATATGTCCCAGGATCAGTAATGGTATCCTCTTTTCTTCACTACCAGTTCGGTAGCATGTGCAGAAGGTCCATGATGACATCTGGGTGGGTGGGTGGAGCCTTGCTCCGCCGCCACTACTGGTTCGCCTGAACCTGTGCGAACTAGCAGAATACCAACTCTGCCCAGGTTATATCCCCAAACAGCATGATTTAGGATAAACGTCATTTACTATTATTATCATTTATTAGTTTATTCATTTAAATAGTACTTTAGCATGCAAAAGGTCAGTCCAGTTTTTTCCCCTCAATCTACATCTTTCAGAAGTGTTGCAATTGGAGGTCACAGAATTCTGTGGTAACAGTAGTAAGTAAGATATAAGTAGGCAAATAATTAATTCTGTCTTTATCAGTGATTAATTCAGAAAGCCTTTTATTTTTCTTAAATCATGCTGTTAATTTAAATGTATTTATTTAATAGAATTAATGCCATTTTTTGTGTAACTGCTCTTGTGTGATACTTAAATATTCAATATCATCTTAAACAAGATGATACGGCTTCTCCGTCTGGTTCTAGTTTCTCATAGTGATGTTTAGTTTTAATTATGCCTCTGTAGCATTTGGACTTCTTTCTAATTTTCATATTATTTGAAAACCAGGCTAATAAATGCTTCGTCTTAATAAATATTTTAAATTATTCTGTTTTAAAATTAAATTAATTTAATTTTTCATAGGAGGCAACAACAGGAGAGTGTGGAAAAGAAGGTTCTAATTTTCAAGTTACCTCAGGACAAAACAACTGTGACCAGATGGGGACTGGCGGTTCCCAGAGTTTGATTGCTCCTGCTGGCGTCTCCACAGGTACTTCAGCAGCAGCTTCTTTCTTCATAAGGTAATACTGCTGCATTGGATATTAAATAGCGGCAAACCAAATGTTCTTAAACTTCCTTCCTTTCAGGGACTGCTCAGGTAATTGACTGTAGTGAGGCTGTTTGGATAACATAATTATTATACATGGCAGCACAAGTCTGAAACCCCTAGTGAGGGGGAAAAGTAGCTATTGGAAATTGTGGGAAGAAACTGATGACAAGATTAAGTTCCTCTTGCTACTCACTGTGCATCTGCTGGAAATCCTGCCTTTTCGGCCCTGCTTTGCCAAAAAAAGAAAAAAAACTCACCCTGCCTATGTTATAAAAGTATAATTCTACTTGCTAACAACATTGGTTCCCCCACCCTCTTATTTGTAGAGTTTACAGTGAATTCCTTTTCTTCCAGTGACCTTGCAGAAATTTTGTGATTTTTCTTATCATGTTTCCCCGAAATTACGACATGTCCCGATAATAAGACCATGCCATATTTTTCCTGTGGGCAAAGCCCCCTGGACAACCCCCCCTCCAGCCAGGCAGAGCGCCACTCACCAACCTAGCAATATCCCGAAGGCACAAAGCCACAGGAGCCGGGGGGAGGGGGGCAAAGGCGCTCACATTGCTTGACGCCTTTGGGATACCGCTAGATTGGTGGGTGGCGCTGTTCCCAGCTGGAGTGGGGGGCTGCCAGGCAGCTGCTCCCATGAACAGCTGCCCAGCAACGCCCCTTTCCAGCCGGACAGAACGCCACTCACCGACCCAGTAATATTGCAAAAGAAGGAAATAATTTCTGAAAATCTTGACAAGAAAACTTAGCTATTAGTCTAGAATAACTTGAAGTCCCTCCCTCCCCCCTCAGTGAGTTATAGGGAATTCCTAAGGGAATCTTTCAGTATTTTTAAACAATTTCTTCACAGCTGTTTAGACTGCGATCCCCCCTCCCCCGGTCCATGGAGCGGTACTGGTCCATGGCCTCTAAGGAACCAGTCTGTGCAAATTGTGGGGATTAAGCAAAACTTCATTTGCACATATGTGGGACCTGGGTTGTGTGTGAAACTTCCCCCCGCCCCAATCCATGGAAAAGTCCTCAAAACCAGTTTTCAATGCCAGAAATGTTGGGGATTGCTGACAACCTTCACACAGAGTGATACATAAGCAATTATTTTGCTTTTTGCATGCCATTAAATAAAATAATCAATTTGGGTCCCCATTTTTGGGTGTGTTGCATGATGCTCTCTGTATATGTTGTATGTCAGGTACTAGGAAGAGCAATTTCTCTAGCCAGCATATGCAAAGGTTAGGATGGGCTCCTTTGGCATGTTTCCTCTTCCTGCTGAACTGCAAAAGAAAAAGAATGCCTGAATAATATTCTGTACTGTACATTTGAAAGCCATTATTTTAATCTCACACTGATTCCAACTGTCTTTTTATAGATAGTATCTACTTAACTTGGAAAGAAGTTGCTTTGTTACTTTCCATAAATGTAGAATATGCATCCATTCATTTTTGAAATGGTTGTTAAATTCATCAGGCTGAATTATGTACTGGTCATATTTGATATTTTTATTCTTTTGCCTCAAAACGAATAGACATTATGTCTCTTTGTCTTGTTGCTTCCCCCTCTCCACTCTTTTTTTTTTTTTTTTTGCACAGGAACACTTTTGAATAACTGGTACCAAGGTAATATTTTAAATAGAAAGTAAATTCCTGAATTCAGGGGTGTCAAACTGGATCCCATTGTGGGCCGCATCAGGAGTTTGTTTGCCCTTGGAGGGCTGGTGTGGGCTTAACCCTGGTCATCTTGGCTGACTGGGTGTGGCGGGGCCAGGCCTGGGGCGGCAGGGAGTGGTCCTTCGACATCTCTGGGATGGCCTCGTGGGCCAACTCTACAACCTATCGCAGGCTGCATGTTTGAAATGTCTATTCTATATCTTCTGGTTGGACATATCAGTTGAGAGTTGGGGGCGTGGTGGGAGGCACTGAGATTTACTACATTTTCACCAGATCGGGGAAAGCTACTGATGGAATTTGGGTGAACAAAATGAAAAGTTTACAACATTGCAGCCTTATTCACACAACCTTGTCTTGATTGTGTTCTGCTTATAGATGGACATTCTTTTGTAGTGTTGAAAATAAGTCTGTTCAGTAATTTGTATTTCTATTCCTTCAGTTTCCTAATTGAATATTAGGAAAACATCAATAAGGGAGACCAATTATCTAGAGAGGTCATGGGTTCCCTTTCACAGGATATGTGGAAATGAAGGCTAGGCAACCATCTGTCAGGGATGTTTTAATTTGGATTCCTGCATTGAATTACATTGGATGGAGAAAAAAAAAACCCAACTCCTTCCGAGTTCAATTCTATAACTCAAATGCCCAGAGCAGCACTTAGTTGTTTATCTTTAAAGAAAACCTTTTAGCACACTTATTTCTAGAATCAGATGTTCAGTCATATTTGTATGCTTCTGAGTTTTCAGATTAAAGAATCTAATTATTTTCTAATGAACATTAATGATACATATAAACTGAGGGTCACTCTCCTATTACAGGCACCTGATGGTTTGCTGATAACCATTTGGCCATTAGATTGACCATAAAATACAGTCAATAATTGAGGTGACAGAGAGCAGAGATCTTAGCAGTTTTAAACCTGACAAGACAGCTTGTCAGGACTCGGGGTACTGATTGAACAGTGACTGAGCATATGATTAGGCCATTGGAGCAGTAATGAAATGGCAACAAAAGCATTGCAACATTAGTACAACTGCTAAATGACTAATGTGCTTTACTTCCAAGGCTCAGGCACTTCAATTAGTTCTAATAAATTGTTCACTTGGCTATTCATTGCGAACTGTGGGTAGCACTGTGTAGGAAGCTTTGGATTGTTTTGTATGCCATTTCGGGATAATGATGGGATAGTGACAGTGGGAAGGATAGTTTCCCTTCCTTGTGTTCTTCCAGATGAGTAACTTCCAGTAGTAGTACTAATCAAAAGGCATTATGCAGTTGCTTCATTTTCCTTTCCTTAATAGGTTTTCAGGAATAGGAAGAAAAAGATAAGTATTACAAATATGGAACATAAAAGTTTTGTGCTTGAGGCATGGCAATTGCACAATAAGTATGTCTCCTTGAACTATCTGTTGATATTTGGATCATAAATGATTACTCTTGGACAACCCAAATTTGTGCCTATATTCTTAGTTTTGCACATAATGACTGTTATTGAAAGTTGTTATATAGACTTACAGTGTGCATTAGATGCAGGGGTGGTATTTACTTACCTTCCCTACCGGTTCGCAAATGTGAGCGGGCGCCAGCTCTGTGCATGCGCTCAGCTTTCCATGCATGCGCTTTTGGAGGAAAAAGGGCCTAAATAGGATGCCATAGAGCCAGGGTGGGTGGATGGGGCCACCCACGATTTTTGCTACTGGTTTGGGTGAACCATCTGAACCTTCTGCCTTTTTTCACCATTGGATGCATGAGATAAATTGCTGGTAATTGTAATTTCCGCACTCTTTATATATAAAGTAAATAAATATGAGTATATTACCCTAGCCAATTTAGTGTGGTAGTTAAGGCACTAGACTAAAAACCTGGAGGTTCTGAATTCTAATCCTGCTTCAGGTACAAAGGCAGCAGGTTGACTTTGGACCAGTCACTTACTTTCATCCTTAGGAAGCAAGCAGTGATCAGCCACTTTTGAAAACACTGCCAAGAAAACTGTAGGGACTTATCCAGGCAGTCACCAGAAGTTAATACTGACTCAAATCTCAATCAATCAATCAATCCATCATTAAGTGGTTTTCTCAAAATTATTGCTCTTTCTTGGGAAAATATATATAGGCAACTTATGTCATATTAATGGGCACCATTTGTAAGGTGCATGAACTTTGTATACCAGCCAAGGTAGCCTAATATTAAATCTATTATTGGTCTTTCAAGACTTCAGACAGATGAATCTAAAGTACAGCATAGTCCTACTATATGATATTTTTGCAATCAGCAATAAAGATATTGATTTAGAGTTTTGTAAAATAAAGAAATGTGCATGTTGTGCTATTTATATTTGTGTATACACACATAGGCATGTACATCTTAACTTAAACATTCATGGCATACAAAGATTAGTCAAAACCCTTGTAACTATTAGCATGCTTTTTCTACTGTCCTTCATAGCTGAGATCTCCTTGTAGGAGTGAACACTTTTCATTTTCACCCCTTCCCCATCTTCGCATTCATACATTATTTAATACAGTGAACAATGTGAACTGCCTTTTGTCTTTCTGAACCGCTGGCTGTCCAGGCTTTTGTGATGTGACCTTGGTTAGTAACCATAGAAACGTGTTAAAAGCATCAGCCTAAAAAAAACAACAGTCAAAAAAGAAACAGTAGTTAGGAATGACAATTCCATGAAAGGAGGTCATGATATATTAACAACAATAAAAGCATATATTATGTCTAACCTGTTAAACTTGATTTTTCTGTGATGATCAGCACTTTCAGAATGTTCATCAAGGTAGAGGAAGACAGAAACATATTGTGCATTTTAATAATAGCCCTTATTGAAATATTTGATACCAAATCTTGGGTAAGTGTCACTTCAAGTCTTGCTTTAGCTCTTAAAACGAGCATTATTTCCTTGTTGAGTTGCTGATATATTCCTCCAATTTTCTGTATGTAATAGTTAGAAATGTTTACTCATCCTGATCATTCTAGGAATAATGGCACTTCAGCTCAGTGTAAAGCTGGCACGATGCAAAGTTATCTAGACAGATGGAGAATGCATAACTGAGTCTGTAGTTATGTAGGTCAGTACAAGCTAATGGATTCTGTGACTCATCAGATACCAACTTATTTCTTTAACAACTTGCATATAAAATTACTGGAGGCTATAGAGAGAAGTCAAGGTTTTTAAGGGAAATTTATATGGACACTTTTTAGATACTGCAGTCATAATGGAGAAGTCTCTTTGAATGAAGTGCGAGACCAAATAAAGATCAGATTTATCATGTATTGAAGCTGCCCC